AAAAAATCAGACCAAAAAATGATATTAGATTTGGCTTAGCAAGAGAATCAAGCATGGTTATTGCGTTTGACAGAGAAACAAAAACAATGTGGTGGTGGGTGGGGGTTATAAGAGTGCCATGGATGGCAGCTGTTGGCACAAGTAAACTTTTGGTGGGTTTGTAAGACACCTGTTATCTAGTATGGTTTAAGCAGCATACGTGACTTTCTTCAGGTTATATACAGGTAAAATCTTAGAAAGTTGGTAGTTATCAATGTCTGACCATTGTGTCTTAAAATATCTCCAGTCACTTTACATGTGCTAGTCATTTTACATATGTATGTCTATCATATTTGTCCATGACATAATATTTGATACCATATATCTGTCATATATGTCTATCGTATTTGATTTGGTTGTGCGATACATATTTATTCAAGTTGTGTCAAGTAGTGTCAACTATGTAACTGCCATGCAGGCTCACTGTTTGTCTCTAGATTGAACTGCTCTAAAACTATTACAGAACACACACTCCTACTCCATTTATGATTTTAAAATACAACACACTTTTGTTTCCAAACAGTGGTATGGTAGTAAACTGCAGTATGGGAATGATGTTTAAGGTATATACTGTTATCTAGACAAAACTCAGACATGCTATAGTCCATTGGAGTGCTACTGTAATAAGCCTCTATATAGATTCCATTGATCCTTTTATTAACATGTCATTATTAACCTTAGCTATGTTAAATGGGTTGAAAAAGTCCTAGAAAATTGGTAAAGCACACTTCTGAAAAAGGTTTTTAACATTTATTTTAGTGTGTGGGTGGTTGATGTGTGTGTATGTGTGTGTGTGTCTGACTTGAAGAAGTCATTTTTTTCTTCTACCATGTAGATCTCAGGGAGTAAACTTAGGTTGTAATTTTGTTGGCAAGTAGCTTTCACCAGAAGCATCCCACTGGCCTTTCTGGGAAGATTTATGACAGTATTTCTAAAAGTCATTGGTATCAGATCAGGAAAATAAAGAGGAAGACTTCCCTCTAAACATTGATGACACTGCTCATTAGGGGGTTAGATGAGCAAAACCCAGAAGGGTGAAACTGCCATACAAACATCCAGTAACCTTGATTCCTCTTAACTAGGTAATTTTTTTTTTTTTAAATCTTCAATGACTTGAGGACACCAGGCTGTAGATCATTCAACATTCATTCACTCATTTGTTTACTTATTGAGACAGGGTCTCACTATGTACTTCTGGCTGTCCCCAAATTATGTAGATCAGGCTAGCTTCAAACTCACAGAGATACATCTGCTGGTGCCGCCTCCTGAGTGCTAGAAATAAAAGGCATGCACCACCACCACTTGGCTTCAACTTTTAGACAGTAGACTCGGACAGCAGTGATTCTCTATGGAGCCCTAGGCATTCACTTGAACTGTGGTGGGCCACTTGCCTTATTGTTCTGAATCTTCCAGCTCCTTGGACTGGGCAACACTGGTTTTTCTGGGCTTCCCAGTCATTATGGGACTATCCATTCTTTGTATAATCTAATTTACCCCTACTCTCCTTATAATTACATATAACTCCCAACTGGTTGTATTTCTTTTGATAACTGTAATACAGTATCTAGTCACAAGGTATACAGTAAGTTAAATGACCTCAGGACAATGAAAAAAAATAAAACAAATCCAAAACAACAAAACCAGAATTTAGGGATATATAAAAATTCAGAAATGAGATATAGCTTGGTTGGATATTTACCTAGCATGCATGAAACCACAGCACTAGAAAGGTAGAGGTAGAAGGATCAGAAGTCTAAAATCATTGTCAGCTATTGAGCTCAAGGCCAAACTAGACTACATGACACTAGAAAACACAAACAATAACTACTTGGTTATATATATATATATATATATATATATATATATATATATATATATATGCAGTTAATTACAAATCATTTGGAAGGATTCATAGGGCCTCCTCATATAATCTTTACTACTTACCCATGTGAAAATAACCATTGAAAAGTTTGAATATATCTTTATACCCATTTTACTTTCAGAAGAATAGATTAAAAAGGGAATCAGGAATCCGGTTTTTAAGCATGTATATTAAAATGGAAGCTGTGCACATGCATATAAAATTTTGGTAGGATAATTACATCTCAAATTATCTCTAAAAAGCAAGGATGATAATCAAAAGTTGTCACTTTCTAATGCTTTACTTACATATTCATATTCTTCAGGTTATTTGTCACAACTGCATCGATATAATGAAAATAAAACAAACATGCTATTGAATATCCCTTCCCGACTCAATATTTCTTAATATCATTTTAACAGTTTGGAGTTGGCCAATAGTGGGAATGCAATTAACAAATATTAAAACCAGTATGTGCTTCTTATGAAAAGGCTAGATTTCCGAGACAGAATATGCTAATAATGCAGACCATGGTTCCATCATTCAGTGCCTCTGACTGTTAACACTATGAAAAGAAGAGAAAAACTGTTAAAATGTTGTTCCAGTGCTTAAAAACATCTCCCCGCACTTAACAAGGACTATCAAAAAAATTGAAGGAATAAATGAAAGTCTTAATACATATTGTTAGTGTACATCTATTTATTAATGATAAGGACAGTAACATGAATTCCCATTTGAAAATAGGCAAAAAAAAAAAAGCCAAGTATTAAAAACATACACTTGGCAAGTAAACACACAAAAATACTCAGTACCATGAAACACCAAAAAAAGCAATTAAGTCTCTACAATGTGTTATTATACAACTATTTAAATGCTCAAAGTAAACACATTAACCACATCAAGTACTAGCAAGAATGTTCATACACTGTCTACATCAGTGGTTCTCAACCTGTGGGACATGACCCCTTTGGGAGTCAAATGACCCTTTCACAGGTGTCACCTAAGACTACAGGAAAAACATGAATATTTACAATTCATACCAGCAGCAAAATCACAGTTGTAAAGTAGCAACAAAAATAATTCTATGGTTGAGGGTCACCACACCATGAGGAACTGTATTAAAGAATTGCAGCATCCGGAATCTTGAGAACCACTGGTCTAGATCAATCGATATCAGGTTGACACATTCTTTAAAACAGAAGCATTCACATATACTTAATTACTGGCTCACGAGGAATTGAAAAATGTAAGCATATTGAGTCATATGCTTACATCCATTATATGTAACAGCTCAAGAAAGGATTCAACCAAGAGCCGACTGAATAAAAGGATCAATAAACTATTGTATAGTTACAAAACCAAACATTGTATAGCACTATAAAGTTATTTAAAAAGCAATAGCAATGAATCTCAAAATAATTATGTATTTCTAAAAGACATTATATCTAAGAAAAAAAAGAACTTTTGTATTCATTCACAAACTGCACTTTGTAAGTCAAATATAAGCTATTGAACATTTATAAGTCTGGAAATACAAGGAAGATGTTAACAGGGTATGAGGTCATAGACAAGCTGATCACCACAAAGATGAACTTTAAGACTTTTTGAAGGATAAATCATAGCAACGACTCCATTTCACTAAAACATCGGTAAACTTTATAAAAAGTGACTCAAAATACAAAGCTCAGAACTCCTACTTTTTGGAAACCAGAAGGCTTGGTAGCCCCCATTTTGATTGAACTGTCCTCATATACAGATAAGGACAACCATTTGTTAATGCAGGAAATAATGGCAGTGAAATGTTGTGAAGACCAGACTGCAAACACAGCAGCTGCATTGCAATTACAACAGCTACATTCTACGACTACAAGATCTCCATCCTACTTTCCTATCTCTAAAACCTGGAGGTAAACAATCAAGCTAGACTCCACAATCCCACAAAACCATATTGTTTTTGCCAATGACCTCAGCTATTGCAAATACACAGATCTCTAGGTCCTGTGAATACAGCCAAAGACAAAGATTGTTGGATGCACTTTTACAAGAGCCACAGTTCATCTGGCTGGCTGAAGACTCTATTATACTTATCCTTTGTATGCCAATGATGGTTCACATCTAGCTCTGATCATTTTATGAATGGTCATCTTATAGGCTGGCACATATGGAATAATTCCTATCGGGGCACATTCTTTGTACAACCTTATGAGCTGCCTCTCTGCATCATGGGCATTTGACTGAGAAAAATGAGCCAATTCATTCCATATCCACAAGTACAGGAGCTTATGGCAATAACAGACATCTTCTTGAGATGATCACAGAAAGTTTCCAACTACATATTCATGTATATGAATACATATTCAGTTATTCATAAACTATAATAATGACGTTCCTGTAGCTCCTGATGTTGGCCTGGGAAGCCATACAAATTTCCTTTCTTCATTTTGCTGTCCCTGCAGAGGTAAGCCAAGTTGAGACCATCTATAAAAGCTGTCCATCCTTTCCTAGAATGATCAGTCTGCTTTCCAGTCTTCCCACTTAGTAAACTGCACTCTAAGAGTAAAGGTAGTTTTAGGAATAAGGCATTTATCAGTGTTCAAACCAGAGCAACGGGGAGAAGGCAGTGACCAACTGGTAATCGGAAGGCTGGAAACATTCACTTAACGGTCATGTGACACAGATTTAAAACTACTTTTTAAAGAAGCATGTAAGCGAGTTGTAAACACCTTCAGCAGACAATAAATCTTCTTGGTGAAAGCTTAGTCATATTTACACTTTAATCAGTTAAAACTGGGGGAGGGGTTCTCCATAAACCCTCCATTTAAGAGTTCTTCCAGGCAATCTGCACAATTTGCCTTTCCTTACCATGATGGTGTAATCATTGTACACTGGTCATGCAGTAGAGAATGATGGCTTCTACCACAAATACTGGTACTGACAGAAATGGCAAGAGTCTTGGCCAGTTCAGGGTGTGCAAACCAGCTTCTGAGCCACTTACGCCTGAACTCCTGAGGAATTTCACTCCCCTGGGTACTGATCCTCTGCAAAGGTTCTATAGTGTCATAGTACTTAAAAAAAAAAAAAATCAAAAAGAGGAGGGCATTCCCTATAAACCTAAGGCTTTTCTCAAGTACGGATTTGAAGAAGCTAAATAATGTTAGGCCTTCGGTTGAAGGCTTATCCACATTTGCTTTTTTCATGAGGTTTCTTAAGCATTATGACATTTTTGGTGATGAATGAGGCTAGAGCACTGGCTAAAAGAAGTCCCACACATGTCACATTCATAAGGCCTTTCTCCAGTGTGAACTACCTGATGCTGAATAAGGCCAGACTTTTGGCTAAAGGACTTTTTGCACAGGTCACATTCATAGGGCCTTGCTCCTGTATGAATTCTCCGGTGTTGAATAAGGATGGAGCTTTGACTGAAAGATTTCCCACACACACTACAGTTGTAAGGCCTTTCTCCAGTGTGAACTCGCTGGTGTTTAATAAGGGTAGCTTTTTGGCTAAAGGATTTCCCACATTCTTTACATTCATAAGGCTTTACTCCAGTGTGAATTCTCCGGTGTTGGTTAAGAATGGCACTTTGACTAAAGGAATTCCCACACTCACTACACTTGTAAGGCCTTTCTCCTGTGTGAACTCTCTTGTGTTTAACAAGTGTAGCTTTTTGACTAAAGGACTTCCCACACTGGCTACACTCATATGGTCTTGCTCCAGTATGAGTTTTCTGGTGATCAACAAGACTGGAGTTCTGTCTAAATAATTTCCCACATTCACTGCACTCATAAGGCCTTTCTCCAGTGTGTATTCTACGGTGATCATTCAGGTGAGAGGTCTGGCTAAAGAATTTCCCACAATCCCTACACTCCCATGGTCTCTCTCCAGTGTGGACTCTCTGATGCTGATCAAGAGAGTATTTGCCACGGAAGGTCTTTCCACATTTGTTGCACTCATGAAGCTTCTTCCCAGTGGAGCCTTTTGGGTAGTGAACAAGTGTTTGCCTCTGACAGTCTTCTGACTTGTGACTTTCAGGACCCTCAGTGCTTTTTCTGGCCTTTTTAGTTTTGGGACAGACCTGAGACGTCAGAAGGCTCAGTATGTCTGGGAGGTCCTTTTCAACATCCCAACTGGGGAAGGATTTTGCTGACAGATAGAACAAGTATGAAGCCTTGTCAGTATTCTTCTTCAAGGGTTCTCCTGTACTATCATGGGTTTGATGCTGATCAACTTTTGAACTTGCCTCTATACTATGTTTCTGCCCAGGTAGACCAGGCAGGCACAAAATGTCTTGCAGAATCGGGACACACTTTTCACAGGGCTGAGTTTTTGGTGTGGTCTCAGACCTCAAAGCCTTTGATGCTCGTGTAGAAACCCTCCGCTCTTCATCTTCTGTTCTATGCCCACAACCTGAAAGAGAATTACTGATGAAATGCATGCTCAGAGGAGGAAGCCCAAGCATACATACACTCCACACAATGTTTCCCCCAAAGACAAAGGGATGAGTAGGAAAGATCTGCATCAAAACATCAGGTCTCTAAAGAGAACAGAATTGGGAGGGCCTCACTGGATAAAGGCCAAAAAGATGAACCATAAGGGGACAATCTACAACTCTTTTACCAATGGCCATAAGCTACTAAAACTCAGTGGTCATATATTCATCATGGATTAGCTTCCAAATCCCTAAAATTTACGACAGTGTGTAGCAGGATGTCATTGGCTGGTTTTAATTGTAAGCTTTACAGAAGACACGTTACATGCAAGTCTCGGAACGCCAATCAAAAATGTATAGCATGTGCTCAGAATTGTGTGTGAGATAATGCTGGGAACCACAAAGGAACCACAGAGGACAGTATAATACAGAAGAATATGAGAGACATGGAGATCAGAAAGGGGTACCCAGGTGACAGAGATCACAGATAAAATTACAAGACAGAACACTACCATGTCTGGGGAAGAGAATATAAAAATGAGGCTTGGCTGGTAGCACTTGCACCTAAATTGGTGGACACAGGATGTTTTGGAAGATGGCCTGGATGTTTTGCCTTCTTCTAGATGCTACTTATCACACCCAGGACTCCTATGAAGCCATGGTGGCTTTTCAAAAGAACCAGATTCCGAGCTTGATGTCATTACATGTGACCTCAAGAAATGCTGTTACTACATGTGACGTCATGACACAGGTCCACAAGAAAGAAAAGATATAAAAAGTGGTTAGCAAGAGGATCTCACAAAAGATGGCTGGAGATCCCAGTAAAGAAAACACTAGTTTTAAAATACCCAAAACCGATGTCTAGCAAGAATGATACATGGTTACAAAACTGCAACCATGCCACATGCAGCCACAAAAAAGCAAGGTGCTCATTGCTAAGCACTTGTCATGCAAAGTGTCATGATTATAGACACAGCTAGTGGCAAGACAAGCAAGATGACACCATTAATTAGGATGACCACAAGATACCCAATTCCCATACACTGGGAAGCAGGTATTAGGGCTACTTAGAGATCTACCTGAGGTAGTAGAAACAGTTCAGTGCTATCACACATAACATATACACCGGAATATGAAGAAATTAACAGATCTCAGGATCTAGTATGGAAAAAATCAGTCTGTCTGTAGGGAAAAAGCAGACAGGGGGACTCAGGATACTAGAACATGTGAGAGTCTTACCCTGGGAGTTTATAAGTGCAAAGTTCTGCAGCATAACACTGAGGTACAGGAGCTTCTGAGTCTCATCAAGAAGTTTCCATTCTTCATGGGAGAAGGAAATGGCCACATCTTGAAATGTCACAGAGCCCTGCCATAATAGGGACAGTTTATTCCGTAGTCAACTTCACTCTCATGTTGCCAAGGATATCAACTTACTTATTCATCTCATCTTCTCCCTCCTCCCCACATTCCTACCTCAAAACAATAGTTGTAATAGGTGTCCTAGCACCAACAGCAAATATCTAAACTGGTATGCAAGGCTGTATTTGCGGCAGACAATTTCTCAGGAGTCATCCTGATGGTCCCTCTCAGATACAATCAGATGAGTTCACCCTTCACCCTTTTATCCTCAGTGTTCCAGGGTCTAGCTCTTAAAGATCATGATCCGTCTGCACACATATTAATTCTACTTAGACTACATTCTCAGTCTTATTTTCAGACCTACCTTCAAACCCCTTCTCCATATCTTAGCTATACTGCTTTCTTCCCTATATATTTAGCACATAGCATTCAGAGAGCAGTAGGCAAATATAAAACAGGATCTAATAATACTCTAAAACCTCCAATGGTCCCGACTGTTTCACATAGTCCAGGATCCTGCTCCAAAGACCATTTGCTCTTTGCTTCAATCTTAGCAACCCAGTACCACCTGCAATCTGCCACATACCTTGTCTTCTACTTCTGCTGATCTCCAACAGTGATAGAACACTGATTTCCTTTGATATCCTCATATGCTGGAAGGAGCACTAACTAGTTTTCTGGCATCTTGTTCCAAGGGCACTCACTAATCCCACCTAAATTAATCTAATTATCTCTCAAAGGCCACACAGATTAGGACTCAACAAGGTAAATTTGAAGAAAGAAAATCATTCAGATCTATACACCGGACACCTTCTACTTAGTATTGCTGCCTCTGTGACTACCTTATTGCCCTAAGTCTTGGAATCTTTGATCATCTTCTTGCTCATGTCCATCTATGGCTACTTCTCTCATAACTGTGTTTCTAATGTCTATCACTTCTACCTAGAAGTCCACGATTCAATGTTCCACCTTTCCTGAGTAGCTAATAGTATTACCATTATGAGAAACAGAACTACCCCTAATTACAATACACACTTACTGTTAGTATTCTGTCTAAACTCCACCTCCACAGTTATCTGGCAACACCCAGGTATGCTCCTCTCCACAGTTACCTGGCAACAACGAGGTAGGCCTGCCCACTGGGCTGCTTGCCTCCTCCCTCTCCCTCTCCCTCTCCCTCTCCCTCTCCCTCTCCCTCTCCCTCTCCCTCTCCCTCTCCCTCTCCCTCTCCCTCTCCCTCTCCCTC